TCCTTATACAAAGGATGATGAAACCTCTTAAAGTATTACATGATGGAGAGTGATGTAATACTTGCAGTTATTAATTACGCTACGGCGCTGAAACTCCACATATATATATATATATATATATATATATATATATTATAAGTTTGTATAAAAGAAACGTAAAAGTAATACCTGTCAAACCATCTTTGTCAGAACAGTCCAGTAGGACTCCATTCTTTGCCATAACTTCAATGACGTCATCAGCATTTCTTGCAGCAGCCCATAATATTGCATTCCTTCCGCTGGCATCAGCAATGTCATAAATGAAAGATCTCGATAAAAATGTTTCCACAACTTTCTAACAAAATACACAAAATAATTCTTAAAAATTTCAGTAGCTTCAAAAAGAAAGTGTTGAAAAGAGATTTTAACTTGAACTTTAAATATATCGCAAATATTTAATAACTTTAAATACACTGATGTAAATTCATAAAAATTTCTAAGCCGATCCACAACATGTTAATACAAAGACAGCTGTTACACTTTAACTTTCAAAGTTAGTGAGAAGGAAAATTACCTTAAACATCTGATTTAGTGCAAATGTTTCTTAAAATTTTTTTTTGACACACTAAATTGTCAGAATTATTATTTTTACTTGCTATTACATTAAATTGTTATAGTTAAGAAAGGAGAAAATAATTTGAAATTATTTTTTCAAGAAATAATGTCTAAAAATTTTTCCACTATGCCTACCGTTTTTATTATCCTTATACAAAGGGCTCACTTAAGTTCATATTCACCTTCTTAACTTATGCCTGGCTGCAGCAAGTTATAAAAGCAGTGTCTAGGCATAATAAAGTGGTTATGCGCAACAAAACCAGAGCTTGTAATTAACATATTTAGCTTTTTTTGCAAAATGACATATTTAGCTTTCTTAAGAGTTTTTATTAGGGAAGCATATAATTTATTTTATTTCATCCATTATATTTATAATCTCATCTATAAATATGATTAGAAATATAGAAATTTAAAAAAGATTGCCTTATTTGAATAAACATAAAATGATATGTATACCTGGTTATGTTTTACTGAGTAACAAGTATAGCTGTCAACATGAATAGGAAAAAATCCAGTAAATTTTACCAAATAAAATAAATTTCAAGATAATGCTCTAATATTTTATACATTGGGAATTTTAGAAGTTTTTATAGTCATCAAAATAGAAAAATTGCAATGTTTTGCAGTTATGACTGACATTAAATGAACTTGATTGAAACTAATTATTATAAATGAGGCTCGCTTCCTGATGTATAAGTAATATTTATTTAAATATTCAAGTAAGCAATAATATGTGCAGAAATTCCATTTCTATAGGGAACTTACTCAATTTTAGGGAATTTTCTAAAATGTATAAAAACCAGGAGAATTTTTATTAAACCAGTAGACCAGGAGAGACTTGCAAAATCAAGTAATCTCCTGGAAAATCCAGTGGAGTTGGCAACTATGAATATGGTAGGTATTTGTTGTAACACTAAAAAAATTAATTTAATAGTGTTTAAAACTAAAATAATTTGTAAAATGCTCACAAAAATAAAGGTTAAGTTTTAAATTCTTTATTGGTCCCTGATTACTTATCTATGTTTTTTTAAAACAGAGAAAAATAATTTTTTAAACAGACATTCATTAATATACAAATAAAACACCCAAATCGAAAATTTATTCTTCTTCAGAGAAAGTAATAATTTATTTTAAAACTAGAACTCGACTTTGCATTAATTTAAGTAAGAATTTCATCTAGAGAAATACAATTGCTCTTTTGACAAATTTGAAACATATTTCTATACTGAGAAAGCCTTAATTTAAAATACAACTTCAAAAATCCAAACAGGGTAAAATATGTTTAAAAAATGTAACCATATCAAATTATGAGAAAACTTTGCATTTATGCTATATATTTACTACTTGGCATTTGTACCATTATTATATTATACTATGCATATAGGGCACTTATACTATATATTGGTATTTATACCAGAAATACTATATCTGAGTTTGAGGGAAAACTTTAGTTAAATGTAAAAAAAAAAAAAAAAATACCTTAATAAATTAAATAAAAATCCTACATAACTTTTAAAAATAACACATATCATACCAAATGCAAGAGCAAAAATTTAAGAATTTCTTCTAATAAAAATTGAAATAAAAATATACAGAACTTATAAATGAACTAAGAAATATGTTTCAAAAGTACCATCATATTGACAATGAGAAAATTTAAAACAGGTAGTTTGAATTCAGTTAAAATGTTTTAGCCTTATATAGATATAAGAAAATCACAACTACATAAGTGACAAAAATAACCCTCAGAACCCAAAATAGCATTCAGCATCTAGTTTTAATTATTAAGTAAATTTATGGAGAAAAAATATGCTAAAGTAAGCAAATAACATATCTATGAACATTTGTGGATATGCAGAAATACAATAAATAAAATGTAAATGAATTTCTTACAGCATAATTATGAAAAGCAGTATAATGTAAAGGAGTTGCACCAGAGTCATCAGCACTAGTGTAAAGGCTCTTCTTCAATAAAATATCAGCCTTATCAGCAAAGCCTAATGCACAAAAATATACATCAACTATAATGACATAAAAAGATATTGCCAAATAATAATGCCAAAGACTTAACTAGTTAGTGAAAACTTCACATAGAAAAATTTATCTATCCAAAGTTGATCAAGATTTGGCAAAATGATTTTTGAAAAAGAATCAGTTATCAATCAAAGTCCTGTAATCATATTGCTTAGTATCAAATAAAAACAATTTTTTAAGTAAAATGCTTAGATTTCTATCTAAAATGGATAAGACTATTATATGATTATTACAAATTAATCCTTGATTGAAAATAACCATAGTTATTTTTATTCTAGCTCAACATCTTCATGAATTTATATATGCAAAGACTTAATTTGTTAGTTAGATTTCAAATCAAGAAAAAATTATTTAAAATCAGGAAATATAAAAAATAAACTCTTCCAATTTTTACATGACAGAGCAAATCAATCTTCCTTATTTACATATTTGCATGGATGTAATTGAAATATGTATTAACATATACGCATATGTATTGATATAAGTATTAAACAGCAAATTATTACATATATATATAATCAACAAATTGCAAAAAACCTTTTTTAAACTTAAATTTAACCTCTTGTCTCTGGAATATATTTGGGAAAACGCACCAAAAAAGAAAGAAATGTTTCTTTAATTTTGCTTCCTAATATCATCAAAATGTTAGAAATGGATAATTTTTTATAAAAACATAATTTTAAATGAAATAACTACCATATTCGATATTTTCACATGAATAGGAAATGTTAATGTACAGTAATTTAATGCCATAAATTTCAAGATAAATATAATAAACTAATAGAACAATATTACTATTTATATCAACTGTCATGAATTCCATCCATGAGAAGAACAGCAAAATTTGAAAAAAAATCTGACAAATGGAGCAAAACAACAGAACCTTTCTCAGGAAAATTCAAAAACAAGTATCACCATCCAATGGAAAAATGGTAAATTACATATTTTGCATTGGAATTGAAACACTGATTTTTCTCTTGCTCGAACTCAGGCCAGCATTCTAAAATCGGCGCATTTGCCTTACCCGAACAGAGTTCAGGCAAAGGGTTAAGTTATTAAGTGAATATTTTAGATTTAAATAAAAATTATTTATGAATGTTTTTGTTCACAAACATTTATAAGATTAATATTATTGACCATATAAAGATGTGTAGATATTTAAACAAATTAAGAAAACACTAATAAATTCATATTACAATTACTGAATGGCCCATGTTAAATTTTTATTAAAATCTGTAACTTGGTCATTATTTCTTTAATGAAAAAAAATTCATGAATTTTGAAATAAAAATACAACAAGTATTGAAACTAAACATTTTTGTTAAAAGTAAAATGCATCCTATTTTATAATTTAAAAATTATTAAATTTTCAATTATTTTTATATAAAATGAACAAAAATATAAACTGCATAATTTAAAAAATCTGTAACATAAGGTTTCTTCCTGTATTTGCTAAATGTTAAGAAATTGAAAGTTCCTCAATTCATTCTTTTAAGATCTTGCCATTAAAAGATATTCAGGTTTCTTTTCTTTCCATAAAACAATTCAAGAGTACAGCAAATTTTCATAAAGAATCTGGTAAAGTCATGATACAATAAAAAGTCTCAAATTTTTTACTTCATTATATATGGCAGTTCATTAGGCATCTCAACTCTCATAATTAAAAAGAAAATCTCAATTAGTCCTTATTAAATCAAATGAATCAAAGGGAGACTAAAATTTCAAAGTGCTGCTTGTTGACTGCTATATGAGTGCAAGAATCCAGCACAGTAATTAAGCGCATGCAGATCTCCATGAGTCATTGAAATGATTGGTGCTTCTACACGATAAGTATAATGGTACACAAGAACAGACTATGGCTCAATGAGTTGTGAAAATCATTAGTAAAACATTGTGAAAACCACGCTTTTTGTTATCTATAGTGACAATCAATGTGGGAAAGAAAGAATTTAATTAAGGAAAAGAAAAAATTAAGCAATTTTTACAAACACCCAATCTAAAAAGCATCTTTAAGCACTTTTTAAAACCGTTCTTTATTCATCGATCAATATGTCCATTGCAACTCTTCTTTATATTCGTAGAAAAAAAACAAAAAAATTCAAAACAAAAACAGTTATGGACAATTAAGGTTCTGAAGTAGAACTGGTCAAATGCCTGCATTAGTTAAAAGCAAGAATGTAATTTGATACGATAGAAATGAGAAAGAAAAAGATTCGTGTTCATACATATTTAAAGTTTGGCTATAAATTTGCTTGCATACATCTGCTGACGAGATTTTTTTCTTTTCTTCCATGATGGATAGTCCCCTGTTTCAACGAACGCATAATACCTTTTTTTCGTGTTCCCTTTGAGATTTATTGCGCTTTCGAAACAACATAAATTGCGTATTTGGAACGTTATAAAGCTTAAGCCGAATTACTGGACAAGTGAATTTTGTTATTTTAGTAATTAGTTATAGAATGCACTCTATTCAATGAGGGAAACAAAAAGTCCAACTAAACAGGTTAATTGATATAGGTGAAAAACGAAAATTGTACTTGCTGCTTTGAAGTGACAAAACTGATTTTTGAAGACAAATTTAGCACCAAATTCGGTCAGAGCTACACTTTTTGCTCAATGAACATTAGTTCATTGAACAATGGTCATTAGTTCATTGAACATTAGAAGTTTTGGAAAAACTGAGAGCAATTTTGAAGAAATTTTTTTTTTCATTTTTGAGCAGAATGAAAAGCCAAAATTTTGTTTTAAAGCATTTTCAGCCACTGTTCTAATTCAAAAAAGAAAAACAAAACTTACATGAAAAAATACTATGCAAATGCTGTTATAATATACATGCTGCTGTGCTGGAGATTTTTTGCTACTGGTATGAAGGTAAGTGAGCTATTGTAGAGTTCCTTACTAAAAACATATATGTTATACTACAAATGTGCCTAATCATCATAAAAAAACATTTCCTGTGTTCATTTGTGCAAATTAGATTAGTTTAAAAGTTCTTTTTGAACTGTGTCCCCTCTCAGTACATAAACAAATTACACCACATAAAAATTTTGTAACATTGTTAACAATTGTTTGTCATGAGTTTCAATTAGTAAAATGCAAATTGAGCAACAAACACAATGCATGAAAACAATAATTGCAAATAACTCACAAGACGGAAATACAGTTTAAATTCATTTTTAAATCAATTTTTACCTTTCTTAGCAGCCCAATGTAGAGGTGTGCAAAATGCATTATCTAATATATCTGTGTTGCATGTTTCCTTTGAAACCTAAAAAGGGAAAAAATTGAAATAAATTAAAAAATAACAGTCAACTATATATTGGCATTCAGTTTAAAGAAAATATGAAACTATTGTCAACTGAGTGAACTAATAAATTAAAACTTTTCTATGAACTGTACGAAATTACAGACGAGGATCACATTTTTCAAAAAAATTAGACATACTTTTTTGCTAATACTTACTACTCCTTAAAGAACAGCTAAGCATGAATCTTTAAAGCTTGTTTCTGTTGCTTACAATAATGGATACAATGTGACATTAGCACATTTTAGTGTAGCAAACAATATTCAATATTAATATCTAAAATATGATCAGAAAGTTGAGATTAAAACTCTATTTAAATTAATTTCTATCAGCAATTTTTATAAATAATTCAGAGCAATATCTTTTTGTCTCTGTTTCAGTGTTGTTGATTAATTTCTTAGTTTAATCCTCTATAATTTAATAATAAATTTTCCACCAGATATTAATAAATTTAGATGTTGTTATTCTAATACGGATATTATAAAAATTTTTTTTATTACTTTTCTGTTTCTGTATTTTAATTTAATCTAATCTTTAAAAAAAATTTGAAGTTTTTGTTGATGTCACACATCCAGGGGCCTGTCCAGGCCTAATTTACTTCCTTTTAGCGGTACCTTCACTAATTCAACTTCAGAAAAAACGGTAGTTTCACAAAATAATTTTTCTCAATTTTATTTTTGTATCCCCTCAGAAATGATAAATCCATATTTTTACCACATTTTTGTGTTAATTTTTTAACATAATTTTTACAAATTATGTCTAAATTTTCACAAAAAAAGGTATCTCTAAGAAAAACTTAGACAGACCCCTGATATCAGTCTACATTAGTAGTTCCTGGACAGGTAATATTCACAAAATTAAACAAAAATTGTACAAAAAAATTAAAGATAAAAACAGCCTTAATTTAAATTTCTTTAAATGTTTCAAAATTACCAGAAAGCGAACTACTTCAATGTTTCCAGCACCTACAGCAAGATGCAATGCTGATCTACCCTCATAATCTTGCCAATTTATAAGATTTCCTTCCTTCTCCTAAATTAGTTCACAAAGCAAATATGTAGTTTTAGAAGAACACAGGAGAAAGTAAACATAAACAAAAATAAATAAGACTCTCTCATAATTTTGCCAATTTATAAGATTTGCTTATTTCTCCTAAACATAAAATATGTATTTTTTTAAAAAAAATAGATCAAAGTGAAGTAAGTATTTTTTAAAGTTGTTCATAAAGTCATTAGATATTTTTAAATGAACACAGAACAAAGTGAACATATACAGAAATAAACAGAATTCTCAAAATAAATAAAAATATCTCGTCAGAATCTTGCCAATTTATTGACTGTCACCTTTCTCCTAAATTAATTAAGCTAATACATATTTTTTAAATGAACATAGAACAAAGCGAATGCTAGGAAAATAAAACTGAATTTGCTAAATTAATAGAATTGTCTCTCAATCTTGCCTCTCAATCTCAATAGTTTTATATATATATATGAATATAGGTTATAGGAAGTTAAAAGGCACATAAAAGTGAATATATATCTTTTAAACACAAAACAGTGAAAAAAGAATCCCAAAATAGATTTTTTTTCTGCCTCATAATCATTATTAATCCCAAACTTTAAGAAACCTGAGATGGGCACAGTAGACCTTGGCCCTTCAGGGGCTGTTTGTCGCTGAGTTTAGATTAATCATTATTTATAAGAAAACCCTTTCATAAATTCATTCATGAAGTGAAAAAAATATCTATTTCTTAGGAAAACACTAAATATATATAACATAAATAAAGTTCACAAATATAAATTTTAGATTACACATCACTGGCACCAAAATCAAAAATTTCTCAATTATTAACACAGCAGATTTGTATTTTTGGGCACGGCACCAAAGATGACATTTATAACAAATGGCAAATAAATCTAGGAATTTTTTCCTCCTTTTAAATGAGTAAATTTATTCACAAAGTGAAAATTAATTTATTTTATATGTTCGGAATAAAATGAGTATAAATAATGATAAAAAAGTTCAATTATCTATTTTGTTTAAGTTGGATTTTTAAATTATCAGTTAGCAGGGTTACATCTTTGTAAAATTTTGAGAAACAAGGAATGCAACTTACCAAGAGAATTTTAACACAATCCAATGCACTAGATGTAGGATTTGTAGCTGCCCAATGAAGAGGTGTTTTTCCTTGATCATCAGGTATGCATATATTAGCATCCTACAAAAGTATTTTAAAAGTATATAAAAAAGAAATAAACTATATAGTGTGATTAATAAAATCAGAGATACTTAAATTTCAAACAGAATAGAAATTTACCGTAATTTCCTGTGTCGGAGTGTCCACGAAGATGGACAATCCGTAGGGGCAGATATTTCAGTTTATAAATTCAGTTCTGTTAATAAACACTGCAATATAATGTGCGGATTGTATGGTGGTTTGTTTATTGCAAAAATCTACTTTTATTTATGTAAATAAAAAAAGATACAGCATAACTTTCATATATATTTCAACAATGCGAAAAAATTGTGTATGTGAATTCAAAGAGCTTGATTGAAGAGTTTTTGCGGGAAAATATATTTTAACAATGTTCTTGTCCACAACTCCAAACTTGCATGTGCGAACTTTTTTCGTAAAGTAGAAATGGTCTTATACACTTTTATGACTAACAAAGGTAAAAAAGAAATTGATGATGTTTGATATAAATAATTTCGATAGATGAGCCGCAGCGATGATTTCAATACTCTTTTAGCAGCTAATCTGTGGATAATGTGCAGGAAATTATGGTAATTTATTTTACAGAACTTTTATATTGTTAGACTAACTCCTCATATTCATATGGCACAGTTAACTGATTAAAACAATGAATAAAGCACAAAAAACGTACACATCATATTTTTAATCTTTTAAACAAGATTCTTCTTCAGTGTTGAAACACAAAATGTAATTCAACAGTGACATAACATTTTGCATTTTGACTTTGAGAATTAAAATTATAGTTGTGATCATTTTGTGTTTTATTCATAATATTTATCTTATACACAGCACAAAATATAATTATGTACAGCACAAAGTATAAAATATCTTCATTTCGATTTGTACATTCAGATAAACAGGAAAGGAAATATAACATGCCATAACTTAAATCTGATAGGATGATGATTTTAACTAAAAAAAAAACTTTTCCCAAGGGTTTTTTAAAAGATTAGAACGAAAAAAGAATTAGATTTTCTTATATTTTTTGATTTATCCAGAGAATTAGGCTACAAGTATTGCTCAGGGGAAAAGTTTTAATCTTTTCCTGAAAATTTAATTTTTTTTAAAAGACATAAAAAAGTGAAATGCATCTAAAGGCATCATGAAAAATTTTGAAATTTTAAAAAAGAATAAAGTTAAAAATTTCACATTAAAAAATTAAAAATATGATTAGTAAAATATTTAAAACTAAATTAAAATATTAATAATTTATTTTTTAAAATTTCTAATCTCTTAAACATCCTTTGTATATCCATACAAGGGCTTGTTAATTATGTTATGTCCAGGGTATGTAAACAATAATTAATATATAAGAATTTCTACAAAACGTAAAGGCACACATTGTTAAAAAACAATGAAATTTCTAGTTCACGCTGGTAACAAAGTATTGAAAACTGAGATATTCAACCAGTGAGCAGTTTTAAGCATTCCTTATTGAAAATTTTGGATCGAAAATTCATTTCTTGCATGGAGAAAAAAAAAGTTAAAACTAAAACTATAGAATTATAGTTATATTTTAATAGAACTGTAAATTGGGCAGAAAATAAAAGCAAAAGGTGAATACATACAAATGAATTGCTATTTATGTTATTTTATTAAGTCATAAATATAAAATAATAATAATTTAGAGCATATTGTAATTGAAACGATGGCGCTTTATTATAAACGAAAGAGAAAGATGCCTTTTATTACTAAAGATTGGTTAGCTCAACTTTTTTTCTTCTTTACTTTTTCGTTTAAGCATTTTATGAATTCATCTTGAAACAAAGGACTTAAAACTGTTGTGACTCCAAACAATAAAATTTATAAATGTGTAAATAGGGAAATTCTTTGAATTATCCGTTATAAAGCAATTTCCATGTACAATTAACCATGCACAGTTGATATATAAAAATCGAATAATAATATAGATAAGTTGAATGAGATGGTTATAAGGCAAATATTTAAAACAATGAACATGTAGCATATTTTAAGAACTTCATTTTAAAATGAATGCCAGAACACATACAAAGCAAAACACTTCCGAATTGAATGAGTATGCTGGGTTCCCACTCAATTTTCGAAAAAAAATTCAAGGACTATTCAATGACTTTCAAGAACCTAAACACAAATTAATTATGGACCCATTCTGTATTACAGTTAATATACTAAAGTACATGTCAACCAGATTTTATAATTGCGTCGAAACAGAAATTGTAAATTTTCAAAGCATAATGCTTATTTGACAAAATAATAATATTAATAATAATTCAATTTATCAGCTACTAATGCAAATGGTTGATAGTTATATTGCTGCTTCAAATCACTTTGAAAAATTGCAATTGACTAAAAAACTTCAATTGAGACTAACTAACTAAAACTAGCATCAGTGAAACTTTTAATGAAAAATTTGAAGTAAATTAGAGTTAATGAAAAATAATATTACATTAAACAAGCATAGTAAATAATTGATAAAGTTTATGTAATTGCACGTTTATTCAAATATAAACTTTTTTTTAATATATTAAATCCAAATATTAGGTTACAGGAAATGAATATAATTACATAAAATATCAAAACATATCCATTTAGCACATCTGTTTCAATTTTAATAACAAATTTGTTTTGTTATTAAAATTTGATTTTGTTGCTTCAGAATATCAATAATGTATTTTCAACACAATAAAATCTATCGTAGAACAGTATTTCACAGATAACTAAGACTTACGAAGCTATATTTTCTTTAAAATAGATCCATAAAATGAGAAGAGTGATTTTTAAAATTTTATGAACATGCGTAATTTTCACGATGCATACTTTTTAAAAATCACGTTTATAAAAATCTAGATATATTATATGTAAATCAAAATTATAAGAAAGGTGAAGTAAGTTTCGAAGATTGCGTAAATCACGTATCACAATTTGTAAGTTGAAATCAAATTGCGGTGTATGTTTCGTAAATTGGAACAATATGAATAGCAAATGTTACAAAACGCAGGAACTAACAAGACGTAAATCACGATGTGAGATAAATCATTTTAATGTGAATTCTGTTGCATGATTAGTTAATAATTTTCATGCAAATAATGATCATTATGAGGGAAATTATAATTTGTGACTCGAAAGTTTCTTAATTTAGAACTATGTGTGATTCATAAATCATTTTGAGGAGAATTGCAAGCATTAATTCTTAAATCTCTTTTATGTGAATCGCAATGCGTAAATCTTAAATCCTTCTAATACCATATAGACTACTTGAATGAGAATTGTGATGCACGATTCTGAAATTACTTAAATGCATATCACGTTACATGATTCAGACATATCTTTAATTGAAATCATGATGTGTGCTTGATAAATAATTTTAATGTGAATCCTGATGTGTGATTTATAAAATACCTCAATACGTATCCAGAAGAGTAATTTGCAAATCACTTTAATGAAACATTTGATATATGATTTATTAATCACTTTCATTTTAATCCCAATTCATAGAACACTTGATATGAATTCTGATCCATAAATCAAGAATCAGTTTAATGTGAATCACGATTTTTATTCATAATTCATGAAATCTAGAACTAAATTTTATTTATTAGCAGTAAAAACTAATGTAAAAAATCTGATTTTATATGATAACAAATTAATGATCCTTCTTATAAAAATTAAAAAAACAAATAGGATAACAATATTAACCTGTCATAATAATGAAGTTAACACATTGAACATATTTCTAAATTGATTAAACACTAGTTATCATTCAAAAACTATGAATACCAAAACTAAAATTTGCTAGAAATTTCAGCTTTCTAAGCATCAGAGATGAACAATAATCTGGAGTGAAAAATCCAGGAGAGAAAAATTTTGTACCTTCCTTACCTCTTTTCACTTCAAGCATTAAAAATTGCATCTATTAGAAATCTATAATTTTGTTTGAATTTATTTGTTATTTTTTTACTGCTTTTTTGTAAGAAAGATTATTATTATTTTACTACCAAAAAATCAAGAACTTCTCAAGTACTCCATGGCAGAGTTCAAGGACTTTTCAGGGTCCTGATTTTTTTCAACAAAATTCGAGGACTTTTATGGTTTTTCAAGTATCATGGGAACCCTGGTAAGAGAAGAAATTTTGAATTGAGAAGTAAAATAACAAAAAGATATAGATATATTAAGAATTCCTCATGAATATTACTTTTGATCCATAAGTATTATTGGCAAATTAAAGTGTTGATGTAAATTGTCATGTATTTAGCAGTTCGAAGCTATGTGAACTATCACATCATGCATACGCAATTGAATCTGGACTTCCCCTCTTCCCTTGTGGGAAGTTTCAGTTTAAATTTCTCACCTGCTAGTGTTGCATGAAGATGCATCTTCTGTATTCTAAATTTTTAATGTTGTAAATTATTAATAAACTAGTGGGCTGCGCCCTCTGCTCACTAACGCTCGTCAACCCCCGAAAATTGCCACGCAATCTTATATGGTTTGCTTCGCAAACCAAGCTCGCTTCTCTCGCTACTAACTTAGGTACATTGCAAATGCACAAAATTCTAAGAATTCAAAACAATCATTCAAATCCATATAACAACTTTTTTTTAAGAAAAAATTACATCTTTTTAGTAAATACTAAGTCATTAAAATAAATTTGAATTCAAATAAATGACATGTAATTCGTTAAACCTATTAGAAATGTGCTATAGTATAAAATCTTAAGATAAAATTTCTAAAACTGATATCTCTTTAAATAGGTTAAAATTTTGGCTATAATTAAGTCTATTAAAAATTGAAATAAGTGAATTGCAATGGAAAAACCTGCATAAACAAATAAATTCTAGTAAAACAAATAAATTCGTGATATAAATGAAATAAATCGTCAAATAAATTTGTAATATATAAATTCGTGAAAAAAAGCGCTTTCGACAAATCGACAAAGACTACTCACTTCTGCCTAGCTTATGCTCTCTCTGGTTATTTCAGTATCTGTTTTTAAAAGCCACCTCAGCTAGATTTGGCATGTGACATTTTTAGCGGCAATCATCGGTCGATTTTCTAGCGTTGCCATTCGAGGAGTTGTAATGAGGCTTTTTTTTTTCACCATGTAAGAGAAATATATAGAGAGATTGTGCTCTTTTAATATATAATAGTTTTATTCCCAAAATCCCATGATATGGAACAGCACATTTATGTTATTAATGCTATTGTTACTTGATAGATTAATAATAGGTATTTTCTTTATTAATATGCAGTCAAAAAAATTCATGTAAAAGTTTTAAGATTTTTAGAACTATAACTTTAAAGAAAAGAATATACCTTTAAGAGCAACATTCCAACATGACTTGCATTTGCCCATGCTGAACACCAGTGCAGGGCAGTTTTCTAGAAACACAAATATTAAAACATTGTTATAATAATACTCTGGCTAATGCTCAAAGTATAAGAACAATGAAATAATATCACAAATTCTTCAGACAATACAAGGGAGGAAAAAGTTGCATTTATTATCAGGGTTAGCAGGATTTAAAGCATGATTAAAATCCCAATTTAAATTATTCGATTTTTTTAAAAAAAAATCATTGGTTTAAAAAGTTGAAATTTTTTTAAAAATAAACCATTAAGTGGAAAAAATTTTTTTATAAAATTTTATTCATAAGCTAGGAGGTTAAGCCCCCTATTTGCTGCCACTCAGCAATCCTGATGATTGCTTCACAACGACTGTTGTTTTTTGGCAGAAAACTAAACCAACTAACTTGGCAGTTTTTCTACCAAAGTTAAAATTATTCACTTAGCACATATGTACGGAAAGGAATTCTGTTTGCTTACGCTTGTGCCTCCACTTCCCATGTGCAAGTATTATTATCTATTAGTATTATAAATATTTAGATCTATTGGTGAACAGAAGTAATTTTTCGAAGTAATCATTTTTTTAAAATAACATTTATATGGTTATAACATTATATTGTTCTAACAAAGTTGATGAGTTCACAACCGTAACTTAATATTTTTGCTTACAAACTGGCAGATATATTAGACAAGGTGCATAGCCAAATATTTCACCAAAAAATAAGCACCTTTTAAGTACTTTTTAAGGACTCAAAAATATTTTTAAGCACTATATATACTTTAACAAAATGCAAAATAATTTTCAAAGACTTTATATGATCATGATAAAATAACTAGTATCTGACAAAGAACTCTTTTTTTTAAAATTATATTAGCCACCACAAAAAGATCGAGAGATTTTTCCTTTCGATATCAGAGGGTGGAAAATGAAGTCTGAAAGTGAGAATATCTTGAAAAATGCAGCAGAGTTTCACATGAGAGTGCAATAATCTCTCTGAACCATGCACATGCAGACTCCCAAGTATTTCATCAAACATGTAAAATGAGTGGTGCTTTCATAAGCTACGGACCGATGGTACGTTGATTGTGGTTGAATGAATTGTGAAATCATTGAATAGAATAATGCAAAAAGCTCGCTTTTGAATAATAAGTGGTGAAATTCACCACAGTAGGGAAAATATATTTTCAAAAAGGGAAAATTGAGCACTTTTTAAAATCACTCAATGAAAAAAGCACCTTTAAGGGCATTTAAAAAATGAAAATAAGTACCTTTAAGCACTTTTTAAAAATGCCACGCACCATGTTGAATACTATTTTTGATTGCATTTCATTGAGCATGAAGCTGATCATTAAGTTCTAAAATTACTAAAAATTACAAGGAGAACAAAACCATCTATGGTTAGCTTGACGGCGAAGACATTCTAACCTGTGATTCATCTATTACTGAGGGAATTTTATGCCAGCAATTTGGTCAGTTTGAGAAGGGAGAAAGCTGTTTGGAAGGCGAGCATTTCCGAACCCCAGCAGTTGGTACATTGAATATTTAATGTAAGTATAAGAAACTTGGTGAGTACCCCTGTGGCAGAATTTATTTGTGCTTTCAGCGACAAAACTCTCTATCACTAATTTTTTTTATTTCCAATGAGCTGCACAATCAGTCTTGCCGATGAGCAGACCTAGAGCGTTCTCCAGAGGTGGTATCCACTCTTTCAGGACCACCACAATGGGTGAGATACCGTTGGTCATGTTAATTTTGGACGTCTAGTTTCTGCCACACTAGATGGCAGCACCGAGACTCTATCTGGATGCTAAAGTGCACTAGGAATTTAATTTTACCGGAAATGCGAAGAGCCAATAAGGCACTCCAGGGATCTTTTACATGCCACATAATCATACGACATGGCCGCTGAGGATTTTCTGCATCCCGAAAATCTGGTGTCTGGGCCGGGGATCGAACCCGCTGACTTGGGCTCAGAAGGACGACGACAAACCAACTGCGCCACCCAGCCATCTCTATCACTAATTTCTTTCTGCAATACACTTTTAATAATAACAAACAGATATGGAAGGTATCTACCACATTTTAGATATTACAAGTAACATTAACACGAGATTTACATTAAAATATTACGAGCAAATTTCTGTAGAAAAGAAAAGTTTTTTTTTACTCTTTAAAAGAAAAATCTTTCTGCAAGAACTCTGTAATGTTCTGCGACAATGTCGCTGCTATTCTGCCACAGGGTTGAGTACTTTATGTGCATTACCCTGCTTTGCATGTAGACACCAGTAAATAAACATCCTTTTGAAACTGGAAATAGTAGTTAACCCTGTATCATCTAAAGAGACTTACTTTTGAGCTGTCTTGAATATCTGACTCTCCGGGCTTGAGAACCTTAAGAACTGCAGACAGACACTTGGAATTAGGATTTATAGCAGCCAAATGTAAAGGCGTTATTCCCGAAAAATCCTTCAGTTGATAGGATGCATCGTATGACAGAAGCAGCTTCACGCATCGATGAAAGCCCTGTTTAAGATAAATAACTAATAAGTTTAGATATGGGAAACAAATCACAGGCAGGCACTTTTTATGATTAAGAAAATTAAATTGTTATTTAACATTTGAAAATTAATTGACGAGTTTAAAAAAATAATTGTGAAATTGAAAAAAATTAGCACAATTCTATTTTTGGTTCCTTTTTCTAAAATTAATAAAAAATGATTTATTTTCATATAACTTTAGTTTAGTTTCTGTACATAATCGGCTAAGTTTTTTGCATGTACAGAAAAGACTATTAACAATGCCCTAATAGTAATCCATTTCAGTTCAATTTGTGTGTGAGATAGCAAAATATCTTGCAAATGGGTAAACTATGCTGATAATTTTTGCTATATTTCTTGAGACCTCTCATGCTATATCTCGTCTTTTGCTTTATTTTGGTAGGGCACATGGCCCATGTTCAAGAGGTCATGGATTCCATCCTTGCCGGCCGAACACTTTTGGTGTAGGCAATGGTGACTGATGCAAGTTAAATCTGTTGAGCCCTAAAGTCCTTCATGTTTCCATAACAAATCATACCACTGGGGGTACTGTTCCAGGAATTTCCTTGTCTTCTGGATTGGGTTCAAAATTACAAGGCTACAGAGTTGAACAGTAGTAGTCGTAAACCCAAAATTAGATCGGCTGCTCATGGATGGTTATAAAATATATTTCTGGAGAGGTTAAAATTACAAAAGCAAACAATAACGTCAGCCTTTAAGAAAGTTCAAAATCTGTGCCTTGGTTGTGGACTCGAAGACCAGTACGAGCCCTGGTCCCCACATATACATTGCATTTTTTTGAGCTTCTAGTCTTAGTTCCACATTGAAGAATAAGAGACATCAATTGGAATTTCTACTCCCAGGATCTGGATGATCAGCAAGTCAGTTTGCTTTTTCCAAACCCACCTGAGTCTTACAGGGCAAGCGATGATAGTAGTAGTGATACTGGTGCTATTTCGTCACCTTCAAAGATCCTGAGTTTTGGAGCAATGAGAAGTCAATACAGCAACATAAAATCACACAATGTAAGTTGAATGATCCGGTAAGAGATCTACAATTACCTAAAGAGTAAAGCAATGGAATAATCTTAACCAGACAGTAAATAGGGGCCCATTTTGGGACCCAGATATATATATATACACTGGTGTGCAAAACTTAAGCAACAAGTGGTTTTTCGGTCACAGCTCCCCAACAAAGTATAAGATAGCCATGAAATTGCAGTATAATATGCACGTAATTCAGTAGAAAGATTATTTGTATGCAAATTTTAGAAAAAAGGGTCGTAGGTGATGTAAGCGTACCTAAACCTTGTGGGTCGGTGTGCGCAGGTCAAAGCTGTGATAAAAGGGTGAAGAACACCGTAGGTAAAGACATTAGCTGCAAGTGCAAGTGATTTGTTTTGTGAAACATGTCATCAAGAAATCATTTCGACGATTTTACTTGAGGTAGAATGATTGGGAAGCTTGAGGAGGGGCATAGTGTAACCAGTGTCGCCGAAGAGTTTGAGATCAACAAAAGTGCTGTTTCTTGTGCTTTGAATGCCTTTAAAACTACCAGTACAGCTGTTCTGAAGGTTGGTGGTGGCCGTCCAAGGCAAACAACACCAAGAGATGACCGTTGCATTGTCCTCCAGGCAAAAAGAAATCGTTTTCAGTCAACGATCGCGATATCTCAGCAACTGTGCACAGCCACAGGACGACAAGTATCAAGATTTACAATGGCCAGACGCCTCCACAAAGGTGGCTTATTTGCTAGACGTCCTGAACGCTGCATACCTTTAAAAGTTAGCCATTGATGGCACCGTTTAGAATGGTGCAGAGAACACAAAAACTGGGCATCTCATCAATGGAGTCGCCTTTTCACAGATGAGAGTCGTTTTAGTGCTACAAGAGATTCTCAACGTCAGTTGATCTGGAGAGAGGTTGGAGCTCAATTTCATCCCAATAACATCGCGGATAGAGATCGTTACGGTGGTCCTGGAGTTGTCATCTAGGGTGGCATTATGTTGAACAGACAGACTGAGCTTCAGATCTTCGACTGAGGTTCTGTAACTGGAGACCGCTACTGCAATGAGATAATCCTACCCCATGTGCGTCTGTTCCGAAGGGTCATTTGACCAGACTTCATTTTTATGGATGACAATGCCCGGCCACACCGTACTGCTAATGTTCAAGAGCTACTGGAAGGTGAAGATATCACACGAATGGATTGGCCAGCCTTCTCTCCAGATCTAAATCCCATAGAGCATGTGTGGGGTGCATTAGGGAGACGTCTTGCGACACGACAGTATCCTCCTGGTAACACCGATCAGCTGAAAGATGCGTTAAAGGAGGAATGGAGACTTTTACCTTAAGAACTCCTGGATAATCTGGTGCTTAGCATGGAGAGACGATGCCAAGCAACAATTACAGTAAGGGGAAGGCATATCCCATACTAGGGAACATCTGTCAGTTGTACTTACGTTTCTTCAGGCAATCATGTGCAGCGCCACTATAAGTCAAATAAAGCCTTTTTTGTTCCATACCCTACTTTAAGCTTTCTATTCATTTCTGCACCATTATTCTTTTACCATCGTTTAAGTACAAAATAATGTACATCATATTCAAATTTCATGTCAATCGGATGATTTCTTGTAGAGTTATGACAAAAAAC